GACACATTTGGAAGCTTATTTGACTCAAAGATGTCTGAAAAATAACCCCTTTAAGTGAGACAAATGCATGAGCAGACAACCCAAGATCATATATTGATTTTTGTTCCACCCTTGAAAAGTCTCTGAAGCATATGCTTTAATGGAAAATTTTCTAGGGGGTGAGCTGGAGTGCTGGACTACTGGCCTAGTCATTTCAGCTCTAGGTACCCTGACAAAATGACCAATCCCAAAATTTCAATGGTTTCAATTAAGGTAGGCCCAAATTCGGTTTGGGGTGGTGGGTGGGATCATTAGAGTTGGGTTGGGTTGTATCACATAAGACTTGGTCTGAAATTTGCCTGATAATCAGGCCGAGAATGTCGAACTTTAGTCCAAAAATGAACTGTTGCAACATGCCATAGATTGAAACTTCTGGTCAAGGACTGCTACACCTAAGCCAAGCATCTAATGATTATGGAGAGAGAGAGAGAGCAGGAGAAATAAGACTTTTAGCATAAAAACCCAGCATAGGCTCCACGATTTCCACACCAGCAAGCCCATGACAAAGATTAGGCCAAAACTGAAACTCCAAAAAGTGAAAATTAATCAAGTGGTTACAGGTATCTTATACTTTGGGGCAGTGACAGATAGGTATTTTGAACTTTCAATTGCAACACTTTAGTAAATTTGAACTCTCAAATATAGACACTTGGGGTCCATCCGTTAGTATTCTATCAGTTAAACATTATATAATACTAAAAATGCCCTTCTCATATATTTTTGAGATCATTTTGTGTAGTAAAATCATCACCAACAAATGCTGTCCTTGGAAACTTTGAATTTATTATTTGCTGTCCATGTGAGAACATCATCATGGGGAGACATTTGACTATCTGAGAATGATCTCAGAAATACGTAAAAAGAGTATTTTTGGCATTATATAATATTTAATTGATGGAATATTAATGGGATAGACTTAAGTATCTATTTTTGAGAGTTCAAAGTATTCAAGTGTTGCAATTGAAAGTTCAAATTACATGCTGTAATTTACCCTAGATGTTTTAAAGCAAAGCTTTTCCTTCAAACAAGTGGTTAATTAACATCTCACTCAGAAAAAGATCAATAAAATTTGACTCAGAATAAAAAGTTTCTTCATATCTTTTTGGTAACAAACTAATTCCAATTCAGTTTCCTAAATCAAATAAAAAAAGAAAATCCAGCAGAAAGGCTTTTGATTAATATGATGGTGTGGGTCACATTCTTATAGATAGAGTGTGTTGCTAATTAAAAATCAAACCCATATGGACCAGAGCTAATGGGTCCCAGTATGGAGAATGACATGGCCAAATTTATCATCCTACTCTTTCTTTTTCACCAATTCCTCATATCCATTACCACATTGTCCACCTTACTTGGCCTAAAGTAATTAATATTTTCATAAGACCTACTAAAATTAATTATTAAAAATGACAATTCGGTTAAAATGTGGATTGAGGTTTGGTTAGATGGTTGCTGCAAAAGGTGCTGAAAGCAGACTGTTGAAAAGCATTTCACTTTCAGCCCTTATATCAACAGCTATCAAACTCCATACATGTCAAAGAGATGAATTAAAAGTGGATGATGGGGTTTTGACAAAGACTTGTTTGAGAATTGAATTATTTACGAGGGAAGTTCTTGCACCAAGGATCCAATCAATTGAACAACATACCAATTCATACTTTTTGATGGGGTAAATCAATTGAAATTGACCCTAACCTAATGCTCATCTCACATAAAACCCAAAATGTAATAGAGATGGATCTATTTTTGGGGGTTCCAATATAATATGAAAGACCACACAAAAGTAGCTTTCATTTATTGGAGCTTTACTATTTAATGAGAAGTGCTGAATCACTAACCCTTTTGCCAATTGGAGCATATAAAAAGGGCAATCAAGTGCCACTTCATTGTAGACCTTTCCATTAAGTATCACACACACACACACAGAGGCTCTTTGTCCACTTTCTTTCAGTTATTTTTTATTCCCATTCTTTTTGAATTTTTTAGTGCTTACTTGATTGACCACATAACACAACAAAACTCAACAAAGCCTTATTCCAATTATATGGGGTCAGCTGGATGAATCATGTTTCACCATTAATTCCATTCTATATAGAGCAATCACCATTAAATAGTGAGCTCTCAAATCAAATAGCAACTACCTGATATCTATATTTGTAATTCATTTTTAAACAGCAACTATCTAATTATTGTTCATCTAGAACAATAATTGAAAATCCAAATAGGCTACTTCTATTTCTTCTTTGGATTTTATGATTTTACAATCTAGTTTGCATCTTACCAAACTTTTGTTGTGCTTTCTGTTCCTTAATGAATTCCAACTTATGTGCAAGATTCTAAGAATTTTGCTGATCTTTTATACAAACAATAGATTTCTATTCCTAGATAAAGTTCATGTTCCATAGCTAAGTCACTGTTATTGAATCTGTTCAGCTCTAATTCTCCAACATACAATCCTGGGCATTCCCAAGCTCTAAGCCAATATCATCATTTTGGAATTTTAGACAGGCACACTTTTTTTTATTTGCACACTTATGCATTTATACTAGTACAAGTAAAATTGCATTGCAATCAAATGCAGCTAGTTCACAATCCTTTTGCAATTTGCATATATTCGAATCATATTATAAAATAAAATAAAAAATAAAGAAAGAAAACCATCAAATTAGATTAGATAGTGTTTCGCATCGAATTGATTTATGAAATTGTCACTGTATGATGTTGCCACATCAGCAAATTGTATGATGTGATTCACCTAAATCAACTGCCACGTCAGTAAAATCATATTTACTGATTTGACAGATTTTTTATTTTATAAAATAAAACCATATACATTCACAAATACCCTTGGGGAGTGTTTGGTATGGTAGTGTTGTGATCCAAGGTCTGGTCTCTGCTACACAAGTCAGAGATCCTATCAACTGAGCTATTGTCTATTGAAAACATTTTGAATTGATTAATATAAATTGGCATTTTTACCTAAAACATAAAATTTGATGTTTGTCCAACACATGCATTCGTCTAATTCAAATGACACACCCATATGGATGAGGCAATACACATTTCTCACAAATTTGTTTTAATCAACAATGCAATGCCACTGTACCAAACACCCCATTAATGAGTTCCCACCTCCTGACCATAACATAAATTTTAAATATACAAACGGCAACACTTCCAACATCCATTTTAACATTTTCTTTATCAAACAATTATCTTCAAGAAATAATTTCCACAACGTTTTGTTGCTGAATAAAAGAAAACACTTGATGAGTAACTTCAATAAAGCCATTTAAATTTGGGCATTTTAGAAGAGATTTCAAGCAGATAAAATAGCCATTATTGAAGTATGAGAGTGCAATATTAAGCACACCATCCCATCCAGTCTAGCTGGCAAGTTGCTACGGTGTGGCTATATCTAATTGTTCTCTAGTGTTGCTACTGCTCCTCTTTTGGCCCATTCAAATCACTGTTTTCCACATGTATTGTTTTGTTTTTATTTTAAACAAAACCAAATGATCCATTTCATGCATCTTTCTGTGTGGTCTTTCAGTGTTTTATAAGCTGAGCAGACTAAATTTAGTTTATTCTCATTTGGTTCACAAAAAATTTAGCTGCCAAAAGTCAGAGCGACAAAAAACCCATTTTGGTCTGATTTCAAGAAGCTCCAAAAGAAGTGTTTCGCATCTTTCATAATTTATTCTCACGCAGAAAGATACAGAAAGACATGATACTACTAAACTAGCTTCGGGCTGTTCAAATCTTCATGCAAAAGCTCAATATATCTTTTAATTATCAGAACTACCAAAAGATTTTTAAAAAAAGACACACCAAACAAACCCTAAATTATTGTATTGCTAAAACGTGACTGATCGATTATCACACTTATTATACTCCATAATATATTGCTAAAACATGGAGGAAAATTTTTAAGCTAAACCCTCCAGGATTCAGATAATGGCTGCATGTTGGCAGTTGGGACCCATTCAATGGTGAGTCTAGATTCTTCAAACATGGACCAGCAGGCAAGTTAGAGCCCATATTTAGGCCCACTACAATCATTCTTCTCAAAACAAAATCATTAAAGCATTATTGACACAAGTCAAGATAAACATGCAAATATCCCTCCTTTCATCGCCGTCCAATCAGAATCAAAGGCTGAATTTTGAGACCCAAAATCATGTATTATCATCCACACGTTGCACACTTGATCATTAGTCCATATTTGCATCCACGTGACAAAGACATCCAAGGATTGACCTTTACGCTTTCCTTTTTCTAAGATGATGCCACGTGGCACTTCTCAGAGTGGGGACCACGGTCAAAGCAGTCTTCCCGATGTGACCCGAGGATCCGTCAACAACCACAATTTGATCACCACCGTTCATCCCGACTCTCCGGCATCCAACGGTCGAGGCCATCTCTACCCCGCCGTTCTCTCGACAGCGACATCAAAGCGAACCCAGGGAAGTGGAATAAATGAACAAACAAACGGTGGTGGGCCCCATCACCCAGTGCGGCTCACTCTTAAACTGCGCCGCGGCTGACAGTACGCCAGACAGCAGCCAACGGCTTCCAAATTTCAAAAACATAGAAGCGTTTGAAGGCTTTCTTCAACGGTTTCATTACTCTTCCAGAAAAAGAAGGCGAAGGGACAAATATTAATTGACCCAGTCAGGTATTTTTAAATGACCAAAATATCCCTAACATTTCTCGCGATGTCATCTCTCAGATTTTTTTTATTACTAAAAACTGAAAATTTTCAATTATAAGCTGGATTTGAGAGCTATTTGGAAGTTGGAACTGCTTCGACGAAAATACAAATAGAGAAATCTGAAAAGTGAAAAGCCAATAGTGTGTGGTTTATGCTTCCTGAATTCGTTTGATTTGTATAAAAAATAATTTTTTAATAATAAATCGATCGGCTAGAAGCTAATTAGATGATTTACTTGGATCGCTCATTGGAAGCAAATTCGAGGAAAATCAGTTCGAATTCCAAAAGTAAAGATGATCAGTACATCTTCGTTAAGGTTCTCTCGAACTAAGAGCAGATCAAACACAGAAACCCAGAACGAGAAATTGGGTTTTTGGACTGATCGTCGAACCCACCAAAAATGGCAGAAGAACAAAAACATTATAGAAAAGAAGATGAACCCGAAAAATCCTCCGTCGTACCTACCGTTGTTTGAAGCTTTTTACGGATCCCGAGATTGTTGTTTGGGAGAAGACAACGGAAACAAAGGTAGAAGCTCGGGCGGCTCTGACCCTCTTGGAGTGCTCAACGGTGATGGGTGCAAGTAAAACCCCTTCTCTGCTATTGCCTTTTCCTCCTCCGACACCGCCGGAGACGACGGAGACTCGCTTCCAGAGCCTGGGAAGTGGCCGGAGAAAAGTGGGTCGGGGCTCAGTGGGGTGACCGGGCTCGAAATCGGTGACACCAGCAGGTGGTTCTGCCTCGGAGACAGCGCGGTTGAGTTCCGGAGTGAAGTGAGACCCAACTTGATTTCCAGCTTCCTCATGTTCTGTCTCCTCTCGTGGAGCTTGAACGCTGGCCGACGAGGCCCCACGACGTCGCTAGAATTCGACGATCTTGCCGAGAATCTCGCCGGAACTGTGATGGGTAGCTTCTCTGAATCGTCTTCGCTGGCTCCTGTTAGCTTCTGCACGAGCTCCCTGAACGTGTGCGCGTCTGCTTGCACGAACGTTGTTGGTGTTGCTGCCATCGCCGAAGAAGATCCCATATTGTTTATGTGCTTCTCCATCTAAGTAGTGCGTGTGAGAGAAATGAAAACTGAAGACAGAAGAAACCCTAAGAGAGAGAGAGTGTGTGTATGTGTTTGTGTTTTAGTGGGTTATTCTATGGATGGAAAGAGAGAATTTTCATGGCTGCATTATCAAGTGAGAGACAAATGAACAGATAAGACCACTTGTTTATATAGAGAGAGAGCAACTAGTTAATGGACTTAGAGAGAGAGAGAGATTAATGTGTGAGAAGTGTTCAGAGAGGTTTGATTTTCATGATAGAGAAGAGAGAGAGAGAGAGAGGGAATGGTGGGGACAAGGGTGGTTTTGGGAATTTAAGGGTGAGAAGGTTGGGGAGAAGTTGGAGACTAATCACTAACGTGATGAGATGTATGGACTTTTGGAAAAAGGTTGAATGCTATTAGTTCATGTTTGATTTATATTTGTATAAATTTGTAGTAGTGAAGTGATGGGTTGCTTAAGCTTGTATCATTATAATAATCAAGGTTGCTAATAATGTATTAGAGAAGGTTGCGTGGGTTGCACGAGGTCTCTACCTCTCACATATTTTGGGTTCTTTCTTATTTTTGAATCCCATCTCAGAGCTTGGTCTTAGAACTAATGGGTTTCTTTTCCTTTTTTTAATAGGGAAATGATCCAATATGTTTTACAAGGAGAATTTGGAGTTCACTTGAATTGGTCACTAAGGCACTGTTTGTGGGATCTTTTTGTTCTCAAGATCTGAAATCATGGGCTTAGAGCTCAGTGCCTGTAGGCCTAATTGATGCCCTAGCCAGACAAAGTCTCACATTAAAAGCTTCTTTAACTGATATAATATTTGATATTAAGCCCAATGGTTTTAAATAATCAACCTAATCATGAATAGGAATTTATATTAGCTTATCTTCTTCTCGGTAGGTTTAATTTGGCCAGAAACTGTTCAATTCTCTTAATGCATGTACGTAGATTAAGCATTTGTGGTCAAAAGCTATTTTTCATAGGCATATATATGTCTCTACCAGAACCTTCACTATGTTCTCATTTGGTTAGCTACCAATTGATCATGCATATTGTGTGGTCCTTGTTTGAATCATGTTCAACCCAAGGTTCAAAATATCATAACGTATTGATATATATCAATTTTCAGGGTCATTGATTTATCTCAATTAGGTTGGTTTTAAAAGATAATAGATACTATAATATATCCACCACGAATTATCAAATAAAAAACAATAAAAAAAGAGTTTCGATTAATTGAAACTCTTGATATGCAATTTTTTTCGTACCAAAGAGTATCGATACTTTGAACCTTGATTCAACCTTCTTCAAGGTGAGCAACTGATTGAAAGCCCTAAGAAGGCATCCAGCAGATCCAGCCGATCGGTCGCGGACACGAAGACATGATAGTGCTGAGAATATATGTGACTGTACTGCCACCTTGACAAGTGCCCTGCTTATAGTTCTATCAAATATCAAAATCTGGTCCCCATAAATTCACAATTCTTTCTGAAGTGTCCTCCATAGTTGATTCAGAGAATCCATGCTTTAGACATGCTGCAGTATGTCTCACTAGCAATCATTTCTTTGAGAACCAATGTGTCTTACACTGAGTATCTCCTTTCCATCTTCCTCTACAGAAAATTTCCTTTTTCTGGTAGCATCTCAAAAGAGAATCCATTGAAGATAAAGCTCATGCTCATTTTCCAGCATTAGCGGTCTGATCGTCGTCGATGGCAACATCTTTATACATTGGTCCTTTTATGACTCAGATCCAATTTGGCCACTAGAATAGAAATCATGGAGTATCCCATTATAAAGACTTTTACTGCTGCATAGATGTAATACCAGGATCAAAGCTCAAACTCAATTAAGCATCTCACTTTTGTTCTCTCTTCTGAATTCTGGTTTCAGGTCTCTAAGGGAATAAATGTTCTGCACTTTATTATTTCAACAGTTTAAGCAACTTAAAAGAGAGTTGGAAATCCAGAAGAGAGAAGTACTCCAGCTCATAACTTGCACTTTCACCTACACTTGATTAATTCAAACAGATACCTAGTCATACTAAATTCTACATTTTACAGGAAAACTTTGTCCAAGTCATGTACCCTACAGTTGTGTCAATAACCAATTAAGTGTAGCTAGCCCACCTGTCTTGGGTTTCAATCTATTTTTTGATTGACATAAATTAGAGGGTGGAAATGGGTTGGGTCTGGTAAGCTCCCAGCCTGGACTTAGATTATCCAACCCAAAAGACCCTGGGATTTAAATTGGGTTGGCCCAAACCCAACTAAAATTTGGGGAAAAAATGGAAGTATTGACAATTTAAATAAAAAATTACACCACCCCATTTAAAAGGAAATACCATCTTCTTCTTTTGGTTTGGAATTCAAAATGAGAAAAAGTAATTTTCCAAGGTCAATAGGTTTTGGTAAATTAACATGTAAATCAACCTACCTACCAGGTAATTGAACCAGACTGTTCACAAATTTGGATGCAACAAACTAATTAAATAACATGTATGCAGAAAACTTGTAACTTTTTAATGGAGTTACATTCAGAACAATTCCCTCCAGATTCCTCCAGCTGTGTGTCAATGGCCTCCAAAGTCAATAGGAATGGTATTTTTTTGGATCCTTTCTAGGTGGCTGCGGGAAATTACTGCAATTCAGGAAGAATATGAATTTTGCTTAATAATGAAGGATGAGAATTGAATGAGCCCATTGTTATAAAGAATGCTTTCATTTTGCCTTTTTTTTCCCTTTCTTGCTGATTATGCCTTGCTTTTGAGCTTTATTCATTTCTACTTTTTTTTTGCCTTTCTTTTTCTTCTAAAACAATGTTCAAACAGGATTATGCAAATGAAAGTGTGATGAATGAATTGAGGATAAGTCCTCTAAAGAGATGCATGAACCGTTACCCTACTAAAAGATAATCCATGATCTTGATGAGTTGACTTCTAGCTCTTATCTGCTATTTATATATGTTATTTACATATGATAAATCATAGTTGAATAATATTCTTTTGTGCAAAATACCACAATAAGAACACCATCTGAGATTTGCAAAAAAAAAAAAAATCATCAATCGAGTCAGTATTGCTTCTAAAAGCACTTTGGAGAGGTTGGTGATTGTTAACAAGTTCTAAGAAAATCTGTAATTGCTCTTCATTATCTGCTGGAAATTGTTCTTGATGGTTTAGGGTTAGTAGTAACTCAAATCACAATCAAATGACTTAGAATCTCAGCAACCCAGAAGCCACATGACACTCAAAATTTAAAACCTTGATGGATAAGAAATCAATTCATCTTTATTTCTAGCCTACAAGTACAGTGCAGCTGGTAAGTATATTAAATATGTACTATGAAGTAGTCAAAATGCCAACCTCGCCTCTTTACATAGTTCAGGAATCAAGAAATATAGGATAAAAAAGAATGCAGGAACATCTAAACCTGACACAGGGAGACATTTCACTTCAATCAGATTTTGCTCTAGTGCAAATTCCTCTTCAATTTGGGTTCAGGTTTTGTTCTACTTCAGCTGCAAAAGTAAACCAGAATTTGCGCTACTATACTTTTGCACACGTGCAAGTGAAATTGCGTCGCAAAGAAATGAGGCCCAAGGACACCGAAAATGTGATCGAATTGTTTTTCTTTTCAGAAATGTGAATCCGAGATTGTTGTGTCTAAAGAGGAAAATTGGGCTCATAACAATACGTGCATGAAGTGTGGAAAGCAGGAGAATATTGATCACCCAACCGTAGGCCTGCTGGGCTGGGCCTAAAACTCTGACCCATTTAGGTACAGCTGGTACTTTATCCTTTGGACCATATTCAATCTAATGAGCAGCATGGGCCATAACCCATTCAGCTACATCCACTTCTGGCCCGTGGGCCTTTTAGAACAATAACTGGCTCCAAATGTGGTTGGTGATGGATCAAAGGGTCAAAGCCATGCAACCTTTGCGTAGCTAATCTTTTGGACAACGTTTCAAGAATGACCTGGTCTACGCAACGGTTTAACTCCGTTGAAGCCGCTGGCCGGCATGGCCGACATCGCCAACGTCCAACCTCACAAAGCCAGTGATGTCATGTAACTTTAATGGCGATCAAAGGCCAGACAATTAAAATATATTGTTGAATGAACTCCATTGGAAGTAAATTTCCAATTCAAAGGTTGTTGTGTGGTTATTTTAAAGTTGTTTGATATAATAACCAAAGCTTCTGATCATTAACCAAACGTTTGTGTTGTTTGAAATCTTCTGTCAACCGAGTTGTAACATTAAATGAAAAGTAAGAAATAGAAAGAAAAAAGAACTGGTTCTAGGTCTGATTCAGAACCCCATTGACCCTCTAAATCAACCAATTCAACTAATCAGTTGGTTGGTTTGACACTCCTGTTCGGTTGAAATCAAACCCAACAATTAATAGGTTAAAATCGTCAGCAATCATTCTAGCTGTTCTAGTCAATTCTCCAAAAAAAAAAATCCTTTGACTTGTTCTAGATTTGTACTTGAAAATGATATTCCTATACTTAAAACTTTTTTACTTTTTGGTTTTACTTTTATCTAGTGTTTTTTCATTTTGAAATTTAATTTTTAGATTTTTTCTGCTTATTTTTAATTTTATGGTTCCAACCATTTCAACTAGGCAATTACCTCCACAGATTTAAGGTCTGTTTGGAATCAGGTTTAAATTTAGACCTAATAAGCAAATAATAAACATTTAAGGATATCCATACTTTCAAAAAAAAAAAAGAATTTTGTACTTTTGGACTTTGAAAAAACGGAAAAGCACTACAAACAGAAAAGGCATTACTAATTAGTAATTACTAAACCCTACTTTCTGATTTGGTGCACCAGATCCGGACAGCTTCTTAGTGGGTTCGGGTCTGGAATCTCTTGTTTAATACTGGGTCGGAACACGACAATATAGGAAATAGGATATAGATTCCAGATAAAGATGAATCCGGCCCAAACCCGAAAGTTGACGCCCATAGAATGTGATGATTTTTTCATCAAACCTGTGGCAAATTTGTAACCAATTGACCGCTCATCACTCATCAGTCATCATACTTATCTCTGAAGAATGAAAATAAGGGTTAGGGTGCTGTTTGGATAAATTTTTATAAAATACTTTTGTGTTTTACAAAATAAAAGTTGTAAGAAAAGTGTTATGGGCTTTTTTTTGTGCTATATAAAGTAAAAATTGTAAAAAAAAAATATAAACTCGTTTCACACGCAAAAAAGCAGGATTCTACTTTTGGGCTTTTTAGAAACACAAAAGCAGAATTTTATCCAAACACAACCTAATTTTATGAGTTATATTGGAAAGAGGTTTGCTCCACAACATACAAGAAAAGAACAAAGCAAAAACGAGCGGCAATCCCCGCCCACCATCTCTCTCTCTCTCTCTCATATCTGCATTTGCGTGCACAAGAATAGAAGCACAAGCAGAAGCAGAAACAGAACACGGCAACCTTTAATTTGTTAGGAGAGAATCGAAATGTCGAGCTGCTCGTGCGGCAGACCTGTAATTTTGGCGAGAGCTGTGAACAGAAACTATTTGATTGAACATAGAAAGATTCGAATCGATATGGGTATGATGCCTTATCGTAGCAGTGGTGGAAATAGTGGAAGATTGATGACTCATGGGGATTTTGGTGTTAGAGCATCCATAGTGGATTCTTATGAAAGTTCTTCCAACTTCGCCAAGCGTATGGAGCAGGCATGGTTAATCTCTCAGGTATTCCTTCCTTTGTACGGTCTAAATTATAAGGAATTGATTTGTCAGCTTTAGTTTAGTGATTTATTTATTATTTTTTATTAGAAATGGCTTGAAGTTACAGGGATTTGGTTATTGATTCTATGGTAAAACTATTTGATTAGTTGAAGGGGTTGGAAGAAGCCATATAGAAATATTTTTGTATGTATTTTATACAACTGGGTTTCTTAGAATTTTGAGATCCCGGTAGGAAGTGAATCTGGTCGTTGATTGTTTGGTTAAATTCTGAACTACAATTTGAAAGAAGACTATTAGGAAAAAAGAAAATTTCAGGAGAGCATATGTTATGTTTGAATTGAAAATTCAGTTTCAAGAAGTATTTAGGGAGAAAGCACCAACTAGATTAGATGTGCAACGTATGGCTACTACAACCAAATAGGCTGATTGAGTGATAGAGATGGAATCATTAGGAATATTGCTGATGAATGGCAAGCTGAAACAATGTCAGATTGGTATGATGGATACCTGGGATCAGGAAAAACTTGGTGGAACATGACATTGGAATGACGGTAGTAATCCTTAAACAATGTGCACCCTTTTTTGTTTGAAGTAGAAAATTTTGCTGCAGAAATTCTCAACAAGTCATGACAAAAAGTAGCAGTAAGAAAGCAAGCACATTGAGATCATAAAGCCATCTATCAGTAATTTAATCTTCGTGCATGTAAGCACGTGTGGTGAAGGACTAAAAAAGATACATATTGTCACTCCTGGTATATGTTGTATGTTGATAAAATAGGTGTAAATGATGAGATGTAATAGCAGGTAAGTGCAAACTGAAACAGCAGAGGTTATTTAAGATCCAAATAAACAAATTGGGAAAACCAAATGCATGGGCTGAAACTTTAGAAAAAAAAATGAAAATGAGCAGGTCTTAGTTTTAATTGACAGCTGGGAGAGATATTTATCTTTGTTCTTGATTTGGTTACCCATAGTGAGAGATGTAGATGGATAAGGTCCACGATATTGTCATTCGCTGGATGAATTAGCCATACCTGTCAATGGAGAAAAGAAAAAAAAAGGCTAGACATATTAATGGGTCACCCAAATTGATCTGATCCTATTATACAGGGTCTAGGTCAACTCCTTGTTCCAATGGTTGATCACCATGGCTTATATAAAAGGGCACCTGTCTAGGTGGCAAAAATCAGAAGGTGAGACCAGGTCTGACCTTTCTGAAACTGATAAGGCCTTAATGTGACAAAGTGTTTGTGTTAATTATAATACTATATAATATATAATTAGTATATAGATGACAAAGATACTCCCTACCTTTGTATTTGTCTCTTCCTTACATGTAAGATTTTCTAATAATATGTTTACTTGTCTTTGTTCTTTACAGGTATTTTATTATATTATCATTTTTTTAATTCAATTTATAAGGCTTGTTATTAAAATTTACCAGGAATTAGGCCTTTTAGTTATAATCAGCTCTTACTGGGTCAGATCTGATAAGCCCAATAAGTAATAAAGTTTACTTTTTAGATAGATAGATAGATACTTACAGACCCTTAGGATCTGGGTTGGGACAAGGTCTGTCTATTCCTTATAGGTGGGGTGGATGTACCTCGAATCAGGGCCAGATTCAACTAATTGACAGGTTTAGCATTAGTGGCATCCTTCCACAGTGGTATGCGACTGTGACATGTGCTAAATCACCAATGAAACTGAAGGAAAAATTTTATAAGTTGGTTTATTCTCCACTAAATCATTGTTTTACAGCTTAGTTGCTGGGTCTTTTCCCTCTTCTTTCCCGAACGGAAGGATATGGTCCTCTACAGCTCCTCCTAGATTCTCCTTTTTCCTCTGGGGGGCAGATTGTGGTAGGCTGAATACCTTGGATATCATGCGGAAGAAAAGGCTTGGCCATCTTTGTTTATCCCCCCATGTATGTGTTCTGTTTTATGAAGACAGTGAATCTATTGGTCACCATCTAATTAATTGCAATGTAGTGTTTGGCAATTCCTGCTCAATTTGTTTTACAATTGCAGCTTCCATTGGGTCCCTTTCAATTCAGTTTGTGACTTTATTCTTCAATGGAAGGATGGAAATTGGGGAAATGAGGCTAGAGTTTTGGGCTAGAATAGTGGCAAGTATTCATGGGCTGGAGCATAATGGATGGGAYRYTRGAATCAGAGCTAGGACCACAAGCAATTCTCCTTGGAAAGCCATTCATGACCTACTACCAGTTTTCTCCCCTAATATCAGGTATGATTTGAATTCCGGTAACT